CTCAACCATTGGTCTACACCGGGGGTAGTCAACCTTTTTATACCTACCGCCCACTTTTGTATCTCTGTTAGCAGTAACATTTTCTAACCGCCCACCAGTTCCACAATAATGGTGATTTATAAAGCAGGGAAGTAACTTTACTTTATAAAATTTATAAAGCAGAGTTACAGCAAACCCCTATTGCCCACCATGAAAGCTGGAACGCCCACTAGTAGGGGGTAGGGACCAGGTTGACTACCACTGCTCTAAATAGAAATTTGGCTCTATTTATTGAGAAAGGTATAGTTTTAATAGAGATCAGCTGTACTGCAGTATAGCAAAGCCAGAACTGAGAATCACGCACGCAAATTCCTAAATTCTACTTTTCTCTCCCTTAACTATCACTTACTGCCCACCAACCAGGTTCAGGCAAGATGTTTTCATGATGGCATGTGACTCCTTCCTTTTTCCAGCTGGGTGACCTTGAGGCAGCCTCTCGAGGAGATAAAGCACTTACTTTCATTTCCCCAAGCATTCCGCCCTGCAGTGCATAGCAGCGAAGCATAAGCAAAGCAGAGGGCGGAAGCTGACAGTCACCAAGCCCACGTGACAAAAAGCTGTGCTCCATTTTCTGCTCCAGGGAATTGAAGGAGCGGCTGAAACCCGAACTCATCAAGTTGATCCAGCAGCAGAGACTCCTGCATCTTTGTGAAGGGACGCTTTTTCGCAAAATTAGTAGCCGCCGTCGGCAAGGTAAGGCACAAGTCCACAGGTTTGAGGGGGGCGGGTGAAAAAGAAACCTGTGCCTTGAATATGACCGAGGAAAGGAGGGTGTAAGTGCTTTGAGACTTGCGAGATTAAGTTCCGGTAACCTTAGAGTAGAGGTTGTGTTAGTACTTGTGGTTTGTGCTTCTTGTCTGGGCTAATTCAAAGGGCTCACATCAGTTTTGCGAGACTGAAAAGCAACTTTACCCCTAATTTGCTTTTGCTTTTAGAAAACTAAGGACGGATGTTTTCTGAGATGCTTCCCGCACCCTTTTTTCTTCTGTGGGCTCAAATATCGTTTTTTGTGACACTTTTTTTCAGCCGTCATAGCTCAGAAGAGTCACTAAATGAACCGTTGTAAAGTCGAGGGCTGTCTATAGATCCCTCTTGGCCTCAAAAGCCCCCAATTCCTTTTCCAGACAAACAGTAAGATTTGGAAATACATGATTTCTAAGTCATTAAACGTCCCCGGGGGAATGAGAGAAACACCAACCATTTGGAATTCCTAATATTTTGCGTCATGAATGCCATTTGTTAGGAAAGTGTGGTGGGAGGGAAAGACATTACTTGAGAATGATTGATATTGAAAGATGGAGGGAATCTATTATGGGCTTTGAATGGTTTTTCTTCTCTTTGGCAGATAAGCTCTGGTACTGTCGTCTTTCTCCCAACCATAAATTTCTCCATTATGGAGATGTGGAAGAAGGGGTCGAAAACCCACCAATTGAGAGTCTGCAGGAGAAAGGTGTGTCACAGTTTCCTCGTCATTTGTAGGCTTTTTTAAAATAATTTTTTATTTTTTATTAACAGACATGTAAAATACACACACACACACACACACACACACA